CGGGCCCGCCCCCTTCGCAGTCTGATTGGAAGAGCCGCCTGTCAGTCACTGCGCGCGCCCTTCGCCCGGGGTGCCGGGTCGGCCGGTTCGAGGCGGGCGACGGGGCCGACATGGAGGGCGAGTCGGTCAGCGGGGCGCAGCTCATCGCCCAGGCCCTCAGGGCGCAAGTAAGAGCGCGGGGGACCCGCGGGCCGGGACAGTCTGCAGCGACTGAATGTGCGCGGCCGGACCCAGCCCGACCGGCGCTGCCGCTCTCCCGGGGGCGGACGGAAAGGGCTCGTGGGAGGGAATGAGAGGAAGGGAGGGAGGTTCCACCGCACAGCCCCGGTGCCGCCGTGAGCTGCTAACCCCAGAGCGGCGTTCCCCAGGCTGACAGCGATTCCCTTCTGGAGAGAGCCTGCCCCCTCCCCGAGGCTGCCCCATTCCCGAGCTCAGCCGATCCCCCCGTTACCACCAGGCAATGCCGAGCAGTGTCTGCGGCTCTCCCGTGACAGCTGGATGTGCCTCCCGCGCCTCCTTCGCAGTGACCAACACTCCCTGTTGTCCCTGAACTCGAGATGCTGCAGGCCTGGCACGGGTCCTGCGAGAAGACTTTGCGTGTGGCCTGCGAAACATAGAAAAGTAGTTCAGTTGTAATCCAGATAAGCGTAGTCTTCTTTATCTCTGCGTTTCTGTGGGCACGATACTTTCCCAACCATTTTTGGGGGGCTTTTTGTCGTTGATTTTCTGTGAAAGTGTGAAAACAGAAGGCATTTTCAGAGTAGAGGAAGCTGACATACTGAGAATCAGGAAAGTGACATAGCAGACATGGCCCAGGTAAGAATTGCTCAGGAGAAAGCACTAAATGCACATTGACTGAGGCACTGAGCCATTGTCCCACTGCTTATAGACTCAAAATCCAGGGATTTCACAACCACAGAGGGCTGAGCAACAAATACCAGCTGATGCCAGCTCTGTTTGACAGTGACCTGTGAGCTTCTCTGTGACTATATATGTTAGACCTTAGTTTTAGACTGCCTGTGTAGTTAGCATGTCTGTGTTTGGCATGTGCTTATTAAAGCTGTCTTTTGGGAGAAAACAGTCTGACTTTTCCCAACATTTTTCTTTACAGAATATTGAATACATGTTTGGCATTGTTGGTATTCCAGTCACTGAAATTGCAGTTGCAGCCCAGGCGGTTGGAATAAAATATGTGGGAATGAGAAATGAACAAGCTGTAAGTATACATCTGTAGTGAGACCAATCCTTTCCTCCCACTTCCCTTTTGAAGTGGTCCCTCCACTTCTGTTAAGGGAATTGCATCTTCTTTCATTTAAAATGTCATTCTCCAATAAGGGAGCAAGGATAGGAAAAAAAAATAACATAATTTAAAGACAGTATATGATAGAGAAGAAACAAATTATCAAAGTTATCTCCTTCAAGTGATACATTGTCAAATATCTACCAGGTTTTGAGATGCTCATCCAGGGCTTTTTGTTTTTCTGTAGCCCTCTATACACTTTCCAATATTATCATTCTCACTCTAGTTGATGTTTTAGTTCTTTTTAGGACTTTATTACCTACTTCTTTACTTTTTTCCCCCCAGTCTATGTGGTTCTTAAGTGCCCAAAGAGGAAAGTTTTCCCGTTGATTGATAACTTGCTCTGACAATTTAAGTAATTATTGATATTTTTTTCCTTAGCTATGTTTTAAAAGCTCACAGAATAGCAAACTATAGAAAATGATAATGCTTCCAAGTGCTCAAAAATCAACCATGAACTTAGACTCTCTTATTTATGTCTATTTCAACTTTATTGTGTAGGTGTCAGAAATTAAGAGCCAAGCTCCTCAGCATTTGGGTGTTATGCTGCTGGTTCTGCATTTGTTTGGTTTCCCACAGTAGTAAGTCTTTAATCTCAGTAGTTTCTTGGGTGGTCTGAGGTTGAAGATAATAACCTTGGATTTATATGTCATTTTCAAGGGTTGCTGCACAAGATGGGGAGCTGGCTGATAGCTGCTGAATTGGTGGGAGAGGGACCAGCAGCTTTCCATACCTGATCTATAGCAGTTGCCAGTTTTCCTTAATTTATGCTGCTAATAACCTTTTGGATTGTCCCAGTCCTCACCAAAGTATTGTTAAAGTAGTTCTCCTAAATCAGGTGGTTGTGAGCTGTGTGTTCGTGCTGTCTAATCCTTACACTCTTATACTGGAATGTGAGAATTTAGAGGAATGCATGTCTCTATGGAAAATCTGTAACATATGAGAGAGGCAAATATATACAAACATGTTTAAAAGGTGTATTTGAGTCTTTGAAGAACTGGGAATTTGGCACAATCTTTATGTTTCAGTAGGCCATTGAGCAAATATTCTAGTTTTTGCTGTGATTACTAACATTATTAAAATTAATTTCCTCATGTGTGTCTGTAATTATCAGAGAAAATTGCTTTGCACTGCCAAATGAGATGCTGTTCTATTTATTACTCTTTACTAGATGAGGGAGACAAAAAACATTCTGCAGACAAATGATGAGTTGCTTTTGCTTAATGGAATAATAATAGCACAAAGACTGGTTTTAATGTCAAAATATCGGGATTTCTCTTCTTTGGGGAGTCAAAAAGGATGAATGAAGCTGCATCTTGTAGTGAGTTTTTGTTTGTTCTTTATCCTCAGTGAATAACAGAGTAATTTCTTGGCAAAGGAAAAGTTATATATAGTATATTCAAGATATACTCACTATATGCATGTCATAGTTTTAAAAGTCTCAGTTGTGTGGTCTGGCTGTGGGGGAAATGTGTACAGCTGCCTCCTTTGTTGGTGAAAGCAGCTGTATATGATACATGGAAAATTGAGGGATTTTACTCCAGGGATTGAGTTTCTACCTCATTTCTAGGCCAGATGTAGCAAAAGGATTTCCCTGTAAAAGTGGTAAAATTTTGATTAGTAGTGTTCATAGGAAATAGGGCCCATAAACAAGTTAAAACACAATAAAATCTCATGATGATGCAATAATCAAGCAATGTAGTTTTTGGTTGGCATCCTTATGTTATTCTGCCCAGGATGGTGGTGGAGTCACCATCCCTGGAGGTGTTGAAAATGACTGGACATGTCACTGAGCGCCATGGTCCAGTTGACAAGATAGTGATTGGTTAAAGGTTGGACTGAGTGAATATGGAGGTTTTTTCCAACCTTAATGATTCTGTGAAAAGCTTATGAAACTGCAGACTATTATATTCTACATCTCTTCTATTGCATAATAGAAACACCTAATGAAAGCATGAAGCTAGAAGTAGCACTACCAATACCCATAAGCCAGTCTCCTGTGGCCTGTAACATGGCATAAGTTTGCCAGAAGCAATTCACCTGCATCCATATGCCCTTTGAACAGTGAAAACTGTGTTGCAACTTCACAGGGGCGTGCATTTTGTGTATCTGTCCTTTGGTAATTAGAGATTGCTGCAATTGTTTAGAAGACTGATGACCCAGATCAGTTCTAAACTTCAAAACCCCCTTTCCTATATGGTTATTTGTTAACAGCACACATTTTTTATGTAAGTTCTTAATCTTTAATAATAATTATCACTACACATTCAAAGCAATCTCTTGATATTTGTATTCCTAGTTAGTTGTGAGCATACAATATGCTGGGGTTGGTGCAGCTGTCAAGGGAATCAGGCTTGAGAATCCTTTAATAGTGGCAGCTGGAAACAAAAATGGGCATCTTATCACCAGAGTACTCAAGTATAACTAAAATCAAATCTCCACTCCATTTAAAAATGAAAGAGGCAGGTTCTAAGCCCAGAAGCTTACTTTAATAAATTACAAAATATTGCAAAATTAGTTGGTTTTTTTTGTCCATTATGTGTTAGAACTTGCTGATTTCACGGTAGGAGTATGAAAATATGAAAGAGTGGTCAATGTCACGTGTTAATTCTTGAGTTCTGTTGTCACCTGTAAACTTCTTGATCAAATACTGTCTTTTTACTAGGTGAAATTTACATCCAAATAATATCACTACAGGGTTAGCTTAAAAACATACTCTGCAATGACACTGCTGATGAGCTATGCCAACACATGTTGTAGATGTTACTTTTGTGATTTTTATTCAAAACACAACTTGTCTTTAAATGTGTGGTACTGGAGTGAGAAGTATTTCAGCAGCTCAGCTTGTAAAAGACAATCCCACATAATCTAATTATTCTCTCCAATGTGAGATTTCAACCTTTTGCTTGGTTTCTGAATATACAGAATGTATTTCAGTATTTCTGAAATACAATTCAGAATGGCTGCATTTTTGCTTGTTGTCTTTATCTTGCAAGCCCCTCTTCCATGTTCATCCAGAAGGCAGTGGAAAGCAGAAGTTTCATGTTTTGTTCTGGTTTCAGTTGGGTTTTTTAATCTGGTTGATTTCAAATCCCAAATAATCCTAATGTAATATCCGGTAACAACAGGAGCCTGAAATGTGGAGAGAAGTAGAGAAGAGTCTGGAGACTTTTCACATTAGTCCTCATGGACACTTCTTATAATGGAAATGGAAAAATGGAACTTTTACTTATATTTAAGCTCTTAAAGTCAGGAAAGAATCTGTACCTGCTTATTTTCAGTATTATTGTTGAAAATTATGTACAAAATATCATTAAATGTATACATAATAATAACAACAGTATCACTAACTGCAGTATTTTCAACAGGCCTGTTATGCTGCATCTGCTGTTGGATATTTGACTGGCAGGTATGTAAAGAGTGTGCAAAGCTGTTTAGAAATGCTTACTAGTTATGAATTGCCATTTTTTATCTCAGCACCTGGAATAACAAGTGTCTCTGCCTGAATTAAATTTCAGTAAAATTTGTGTTGAATCAGATGCACTTCCAGCGTGAGCTTTCTTCATTGGTAGCTGCAGATAAAGTGCAGTTGAGAAAACTGCAAACATGATTGCATATAAATGTTAGATGGTGGAGCAAATGTGATACAAGAAGTCAGGAGCTGTGTTAGGATAAGCCTGTGTATATTGCCTACCTCTGTGTGGGTGGCACCTAATTGTTCACTTGCCTTTCTAGTTGGATTGATACAGCGTCACAGTTTCTGATTTCCATGTCTGTCTTTAGTTATGCATACAAATTCCTAGCTGTTCATGAGTTTTGGTGACATGAGTAAAAATTTAATAGTCTATATTTCAGCACCTTACTAATTTTTGTTGATTATTTATTTGGTGTTCTCTGTGCTCACTTTCCTTTTCTCTCTTCCTCTTTTTTTGTTTTTGTATTTTCTGTGTAGACCAGGAGTATGCCTTGTAGTGTCCGGTCCAGGTGTTTTACACACCCTTGGTGGGATGGCAAATGCAACCATTAACTGCTGGTAATTGAACTGCATTTTCCCTTTAAAATTCCAATAATTGTGTGTTGTTACTTGTTTTAGATGTTGAGCTCCATGGTATTTAGTATTTTAATATTTTTTCCCCTTTCGTGTGGATAACCAGAAAGGAATTCTTCCTTTATCAACATTAAAATTAATTTAATTACAATTTTTGTATTCTCATGGATAAAATTCTTGGTTTTGTCCTATCCCATTGTGCATATTTAGAAAAATCTATCTGTACAGCTGGTTGTATGGATGTATTTGAAAATGAAGTCAGTATTAGCCTGTAATGCTTTCATGATCATGAAGATCACCCTAAAGGTGTTTCCTAAATTTAAATTCATACTGCCTTTGAATTACCGTATTTCATACGTAAATAAATTGTCAACTGCATTGTTGTAAAATCCCTATTTCCTCTCCACACATTTAGAGTATTAATTAAGTATTGAATTAAATGATGTGTAGAGAGAAAGTATTTACTTCTGAAAGCCTTGACTGAGATGTGCCAGCTTTGTCTGGTGTGCCACTGAAAGCTGTTCAGAAAGCTGTACCGAGGTATTTTGGGAAGAAGCTGTAGCAATACCGAGCAGATGTGTGCACAGAACAGAATGGGATCCAGACCAGCGTGATCTGAAACACTGAATTAGCAGTGGCTGATGGATGAGGGAAGTTTGGGAATGGGAACGTTAACAGATCAAGTCTGACTTTTGAAAAAGGCCCTCTAGTGTTCAAATTCTTTTTTTAAAAAATGAATTGCTGACTAAAGTTTTGCTGTCACTACTTGACCTTCAACTAAAAAAGGAAGATTATATTAAAACCTTGCTTTTGAACAGTCAGGAGTTTGGTTTGAAGAAGGAACTATGCATGGAATCTACTTATGGATTTCCAGGAGACATTATTGAGGGTAAACTGCATTTTTGAGAGTAAAACATTGTGATATATCGTGATAAAAATTACCTGCCATGCTGCTGCCTCCTTTCCGGTCTCATTCTGAGCAAGATTTTGTACCTCAGTCTGGCTATGACAATAAACTCAAAAGACAAGTGTGTGATAGTTGGTAAAATTTGGAGTAAACACAAGCATGCTGAAGTACCATGCTCTTTCCTTAAATGCAGGTATATTTTTTTTCAGTTTACTCGAGTTTTTCTCCGCAAATCCATAAAACCTACCGTTAGTTTATTATAGTCAAGGGTTCTTTCTGCCTCACTGATGTTTTTGCCTTGCTTTATAAGCACTGCTCTTCAAAATGTCTACAATATTGTGACAGTAGTACAATGATTTCCTTGAGGGAAAGACTTCTTTCTAGTTAGAATTACTTAAAACTTCAAGGACAGAACTAAATCTTTTCAAGATATAACTATTAGAGTTGGTTTTCTAAATAGTAGACCAGGTTTGTAATTGTATTTCATTATTGGGAAGTAGTAGTTGATTTTTCATTAAAATATTTAAATAAATTTGGAAAAGGCAAGTGAGAGGAACATAGGGTTTGTCACTGTCAAACAGTCTTGGATAACAATAATCATTTTGCTGAGGGGAGAGAATAAACAGAATAAAATGTGTAGAGCAGTCACATAACATAACAATTTTTCCATAACAATTTTTCATAGTGATAAGATACAGCCTGAAGTTCTCATTTCATTGCACCAGGGGATTCAAACTGAGATTTTTGATTTATGGCAGAGAAATGGCCTGGTTATGAAGCTTGGATCTAGATACACATATCCGAAAGTGTTGTGGGTGATTAAATTTAGGGTTGTGCATAGAACACACTGCAAATATTTCTGCATGATACATTGTATAGATAAATGCAGTCAAAGGAAAGAATATCTGAAGAGAAATTGTTTAAGAGAAAAAGCTGAGAAAACTATTGACCCAATATTTCAATATAGTGCAGATGAATAAGGAGATCAATAAAACAACTTTCTTTGACTCAGCACTTAGAATTTCAAGGAGTTTGACCTACAATTTGAATAAAAGTCAGGTTTTCATTCACTGTAGGAAAATTACTTATTATATTTTGTGGAAATTACAATAAAAATGTGCTCCTGTGGAATATATAACCCTCATTGTAAAGTAATACTGCCTTCCTTGCATAGATTTGAACAAATTTAAGTTCAGGACTGCTTGCAGGCATGTTAATTTTTTGTTGGTTTGGAGGTTTTTTTACTAAAAACAAAATGCAGGGAGTTGTTCTCTCAGCCAGCTAACTTCTGTGTTCCAAATTGTATGCAAAGAAAATATAATCTTTTTGAAAAATTGTATCCTAGCTTGTTTCTTAGTTCTAGTGCTTGTGCATACTACAGTACCCTTTATAAACACACGTCTTAGTACTTTTTGGACCAGTCAATACTTCTTGACTTCTTTTTAGGTGTTGTCATTCCTTCTAACCACTATGTCACCCATATTATCAAACTTGAATGAAAATTGCCTGCAATGAGATTTGGTTTTAGAACTTCTGTGATGCAAGTCACTTAATATGGCCCAATTGTCCCAAAACTGGTGACCCAAACACTGCTGGGAAGGCTACTGTCTGACATTCTGATATTTGGGATCCATTTCTGTATTCTGTATCTATTTTTGTAGAGTTCTATGGATGCTATATACATATATATATATACACTCATGGGGTTTTTTTGTATGTTTTTTAATGTACTTTTCTAGGCCTTTGATTGTGATTGGAGGTTCTTCTGACAGAAATCAGGAAACTATGGGAGCTTTCCAAGAATTCCCACAGGTACACACACATATAATTTTCTACAGGAAGATTTCAGTTAAATAATTCTTGTTACTTCATTATTATAGGAAAAGCAGTCCCAAACACTACCATTTCCTAACATATCTTATAATGCTGTTGATTTGCTCCATCTACTGGTTTAAAATTGACATTGTGGAAATACAGCAGACTGCCTGGAATGTCTTTGTCCCTACTCATATTGTAATTCATGCTCTGTTTTAGGTTTTCAGCTAGCTAAATAAATAGCCTTTGTTTGTTCTGAGATGGACAAAAGCAAAATGTCCAAGAAAATAAACCAGTTTATGGGTGAGGAAAAAAAAACCCAACAAAATACTTAAGTACTCAGAGGAATGAGTATGATTTTGACTGTTTTCATCAGCTGCTACTGCATTTTTCCATGGGGAATTTTCCACCCTATTGCTTTTCATCTGACATTTCTTTCATTCTTTTCATGTTGAAATGAGAAGGAAATGAGCAAATCACTTGGCTAAATCAATATAATGGTTATTTGCCTTTATTCAGGTTGAAGCTGGCAGGCTGTACAACAAACTCTCTGTCCGCCCAAGCAGCCTGGAAGTTATTCCTGCTGTTATTGAAAAGGTATGAAAAAATACAAAATTAACAACTGTCTCCTTTAAGTTTTGAGGGTTTATTTTTGTATAGTTGTGACTCTAAGTAATTTGCTCTGGCAGATAGGAGGTGATGGTTGGTTGGGTAAATTAACAATTGGGGAGGTTCTGCCTTACAAACTATGCCATGGAATAGGCTAGAAATAGATCCTAGTCCAGTCTGGTGCTTACTGATCCCAGTAAGCAGTACTGGGTGGTGGTTTTTGTTAGCTTCAGAGAGAGCTGGAAAATTTTTATTACAAAAATGCTTTTAGGGAAAGATGCAATAATTAGAAATGTAATGCTTCAGCTGTTTTACCACTGTCATGTGAAGGAGATTCAGAGGGGGCAGTGGAGATGGTTGTGTTTGGGGTTTGAGTTTAGTTTTTGCTTTGGAGTTGTTTTGAGAGTGAGAGAAAACACATCCTTATCTTAGTGCTTCAGAGAGGATTAGAGAAGTCTCTTGGTACTGCTCTAGCAGCCCTTCAGCCACGTCAGCCTAAATTCTGCATACAGTCACACTGTTTCCAGAAGTGCAAATTCAGCAGAGCATCTACCTGCAATAGAAGAGCTGGGATCAAAAGTAATAGGAAATGGAAGAATTTTTTATCTTGGTTTTACTCTGTTCGTGCTACTTTAAGTAGAATTCAGCATGAATGTTTAATTTTGTATCTCCAAACATAGCAGATGATAATGCAGTTGTCTCATTGCAAATTAAACAAAGAATTGAGAGTCTAATACTTTACATCAAATTGAGAGTTTAATACTGTATGTCTGCTGAAAGGCTTCAGCTGATATATTAGAGAAAGTATAAATGGCTGTCAGAACTTTATTTTTTTGGTGTAATCAGCAAAATGTAGCTCTGCAGAAGAGAACTCTACAGAAGAGTTTTCTTTCTTTTTGGAATGCAAATATTTTTTTAATGTAAATATCTTTAAAATCCTGTCAAACAATGATTAAAACTGTGATTGTATGTTTCCTAGGCTGTAAGAACCAGTATGTATGGTCGTCCAGGTTCCTGCTATATTGACATACCCGGGGATTTTGTGAATCTTCAGGTGAATAAGAGCTCTGTCAAGTGCGTAAAGATTACGTTCATTATTTTTCAAATCACTGAACGAAAGAAAATGAATTTATAGGTTAATTTCATATTTTATTTTCCTAGAACAAGAAATTCAAGCCTCTGAATGTAACATTCCATCATAACATGATACAGATTACTGTTTGTAATGAAATGTGCAAAAAAGAATGAGTTAACATGGTAATATAATGATGTCACTGTAAATCTCTGAAACAACACTACCTACAAGGTTAAAGAAACAAGGAGGGAAAACTTCAAAGCCTGTTTTGAAAAAAATATTTCCTGTTCTAATAAATGCTGTAACATGCAATTTTGTGCTAAACAATAGGTTTTGTCTTTCAGCATTTCTTGTTTAGAATTTTTTAATGAGCCTCATTTATTTTGCTTGGCTTCAGGTACATGGAATGCTGTCTGCCACCTCCCATCAGCATGGCTGACCACTCTGCTGTATCCAAAGCAGCCTCTGTCATTGCTCTTTCCAAGCAGCCTCTGCTCATCATTGGCAAAGGTAGAATGCTTTGATGTAGCTTTGAACTGTGCACGTTCAGGACAAAAGCAGTGCTTGCTTTTCCCCAGAAGAGTTACCCATCTTCTTTTTATCCAGACAAACCAACCAACCAAACAGTAGTACAAACACAAAATTCTTTGGAATTTAATGTTAAAATCTGCACTGGTTTTAGAATGTATTTTTCTGTTCTATAGTGGTTTATTTTTCATCTAGTTTAAAGAAAAATCAATTGTTAAAATACAAGTTTATGTAGAAAAAAATCAGATAACTGTTGTCTTAAATCCTAGAGCAAATACCAAGGGATCACTTCAGAAATTCTGAACTATTTCAGTTCTATTAAGTAAGTTATATTCTCTGTCTGATGCTCTGGCATATATAGCAAGAATCAGAGTAAGCAAAGGTCATTTTTCTGTTGGTTCTTACTGAAAGTGGCAGCCTACCTGTGTGGGTATATACAACAACATAACAGGTGCTGCTGCTGTTGCTATTTTACAGACTTTTCATTGTACTTTGCCTTTTTAATCAATTCCTGGCGATAGAATATAATTATTCTCTGTGCTGGTTCACTTCTTTTGTGCCTCCTTGTGGAGTGTTAGCCAGTGCAGTGGTGTTTCTGTTGAAGATACAGGTCAGCTAGGAACAGAATTAAAATAACCAGCTCATTTAACTCAGGCTGTTTCATGCAGATGTGGGGAATGATCTCTATCTATGTTTAATTAGGGAGTGCAATGGTTGAAATGAGATGGATCTTATCATTGATTAGGTAATGAAATTGAAAACAGAAGGTAGGTCAGAAGAGATTATGGAGTTGTTTTTCTTTCTCACTGGCTGGATACACATGAAGAAGAGGGTGTTCTTTGAAAGGAAAAGGTGGAACACTCAAAAAAAAAAAATCAAAAAATCTGTGTTTTGTCAATGTCAGCATCTGAGAATCTACTCAACAAATGTACCTGGTCTTGGTGCTATATATTGTTGCTAGCAGAATTTTGGAAAGATTTATAAGAGTACATTTGTCAGGATTTAAGACTCACAGATTCAAGCCATTGCACAAGGACCAGTCAGTTATTCCAAGTTCCCTGGGCAAGTTTAGTTCAGCAGCCATGTACTGCTGCAGCATCAGAGGAAATGTGTGCAGAAACACATACCTTTGCAAGGACTTGTTTGTGCATCTCTCTTTTCACTAAAGGCTTATAGTGGAGTCTTTGGGCAGGTTGTTATGGAGCATGTGGTAAGGCAGCATGCAGGGGGTGAGCAAGAAGTTACATGACACAACATAAAGGTCATCTCATGTATCTGCTGCAGAAGTCTCTGTCCCATAATACCAAACTTAACCCACTAAAAAATTGTCATTTTAAATAAACAAGATCTCCTATTTTTCCCTGCCCTACTTCATAAAAATTGATAAAATAGTTCAGCTGAAGTCAAAAACCAAGCAAACAAAACTTTTCACAAAAATATGTGAAATTTTAAGCACAGGTATCTGTGGTTTGACATATTTTGTTTTGAGTTCTTCAGAATGAAAAATAACAGGCAGCATTCATAATAGGAAACAGTACTCTTTCTGCCATAATGAAATCAACTTAATTGAAGTTCAAGCAAATACGGTTGGTTTCTGTAGTATTAACCAGTCTCTTTCATTTCATTCAGGTGCTGCTTATTCACATGCTGAAAACAACATCAGGAAGCTGGTGGACCTTTGTGGACTGCCTTTTTTGCCTACACCAATGGCAAAAGGAGTAGTTCCTGATAACCATCCAAATTGTGTAGCTGCAGCAAGATCAACGTAAATATAAAGCAAGGCTTCTAATCCTAGCAACCGAGAAACAACTAGGAATTTTGGTGTTCTGCAAGATGCCAGGGAAGAGAAAATTCATACCACGAAAATTTTTTCAACCGTGTTTTGCACCTCGCTGTAGAGCACTGAAGATCTTGCTGGGAAGGGGAACAACAGATTTAAGTGGATCACTTTAGAATGCTGACCAGGAAGACACTTTGAGATACATTATATTCTGTAGCTATGAAACCTATGGCAAGTAGATGTATCAATAGTGTGTACTTCGTAACATAAAACAGAGCTGGCAAACAGTTTATGTTAAACATTTGACTTTGTGCACTAGACAAATGCCTTCTTTTTGCTTTAGCACCATAAACAGAAGCTTGAACAGCCCATGTTGCAGTTGAAATTCTGCCAGCTGTTGTCTCTGTGTGGTGTTTGCAATACCCTACCACTAAATTGCACTTTATTTACAAAGAAAAATAAGGTATCTCAAACTACACTGAAAGACTATGTTTAAAGTAGTTTTTAACAGGTTTTTTTTTGGCTCTTGGCAAAATTTCTGTGAACAGACTCTTAAGAACCCCTAATATGTATGAATATGCACAGAGTCCGTTTGCAAATGGACCATTTTTATACCCTGAAAGTAAAATGCTGTCTGTTGCCAAGCATCTTAGCTTTATCACTGTTAAGCACACTGCCAGGAAGAATGGAGAATAAAAGAATATACCAAATATTGTCTGCCTATCTGAAAAGTAAATTAATGAGAGACTAAACTCTGAGAATGAGAAGCCCACACAATCTTAATTTTGGCACCCGCTGTTGCCAGTGTCACAATAGTGAGTCTTCTGCCTTAACCTCAGCATTATTCTAGCATCTTGTTGGTCTCCTGATGTAGTGATTCCTCTCCTGCATACTGTGTAATAGGAAAATAGTAATTAGTTTTCTTCTTAAGTTCCTTAGCTCAAGAATGGCTTGGTAATTGGCTGTATAAAAGGATGCAGGGGCTAAGTAAGCAGCTTAGAGGAAGGAAGAGTTATATGTATATTATAGGGTTTGCTGTGGTGGTTAGGATTGCTTCTAATTTTATAAAGCCTGTTTGATATGATTCTTTCTTATCTGGTTCTGTCATTTCCCTTTATTAGGGCATTACAGCATGCTGATGTAATCATCTTGCTTGGTGCAAGGTTAAATTGGATTTTGCATTTTGGTCTTCCACCAAGGTATCGACAGGATGTAAGGGTTATTCAGGTAAGCAGGAAAATTATTATCACTTAATGGAAGTCTTCTGTGTTCTAGCATTGCCCAGAGCAATTATTGTAAATTATTTTGGTAATGTATGTTATGTGGCAAGTGATGCCATATGGACAGTGCAGTATAGTGCATATAGTTATGGTCTCCAGAAATACTTATGATATCTTTAATTATTGTTTTTACTTCCTAATTTTTTTCTCTGAATGCTTACAATATTGTTCCTAGTGTCAAGAGCTTGGTGCTGCTATGTAATGAGGAGGGCAGACACTTCCATGCAGTTAAATAATAGAGGTTTAGGCTCACAATACTGTTGTGATCTTTGAAGCATTGGAATTTCTATGATTGAAAGAAAACTCTTTGAAATTGTGGATTCTTTCATACTGCTCTCCTGGCTGAATCTTTCTGACAAATAACTGCTTTCAGATCCTGTCATAATGTAAGAGCTCAGTCACTCGGAAATGTGAAGAGGAAGAAAGGCTATTTAACTAATGAATGCATTTGACAATCTGCCAGCTCTTGGAAAGAGAAGTCTTTAAATTGTGTCATTAAAATCTCCTTCCCAAGAGTCTGTGATCAAATGGTAGTAGTTGATCCAGCATGTCAGCTGTCCTGCTTACTGACCTAGAACACAGTCTAAAGTTCCAAACTTTGCAATAACATTAATTTTTAAGCTAAATTTTTTAAGATACATGTTAATTCTGTAATTATTATTTTTACAAATAATACGTATTTTATGTTTCTTCTTCCTAAAAAATTTAAAGAAAATATTTTTTCATCTCAAGTTTTTTTTTTTTCACCATCAGAGATTAGCATTAAAATACTAAGTCAGTGTGTGATAGTCTGTGTGACCTGGTCAAAAAAAAATAATTATGTAACCTTAGGGGGTTCATGCATCACTGATAGATTTGCTTCAGTAGTTGCCACTTAATTTTAAGTTTCTTCATGCTAACTAAGTTCTTACTGTCAAGTAGCATGTACACAGTTTTCTCAGTGACAAAATTGCTGCTTTGTATAGACTTTAAGGGTATACCTGAGCCTAGATTTTTAGCTGTCATACAGTGTTGTAATAAGGTTCTACAGTGTCTGCAGGAGCTTGAAAGAAGCGAGCAATCAAGGATATATAAGACTTTTTAAGGATATATAAGACTTTTTATTAAAATAGGTGTGTACCATAGGGTTTTACTTTGTATAAAGGATTTCCTGATGTCATGTCAAGGAAAGGCAAAGGAAGTTACCTGTACAGCCAAAACAAGCTATGAAGACAATGTTAGACATCTATGTGTGTTAGGCCATGTTCCTCACTTGAACTGAAAGAAGAAGTTTTCCTTAATATCCTTGAGTTAATGGTTTCCTTTCTTTTGAAATAGATTGATATTTGTGCAGAAGAGCTGGGGAATAATGTAAGGCCAACTGCAACTTTATTAGGTGACCTAAACGCTGTGACTGAGCAGGTAACATAATGTCCCGTGTCCTCTGGTTTTGACCTCAGTTTCCTCTGATTCATGTGAAGTTGCCAGTTAAAAGAAAAAAAACCCACAACAGTTCAAGGAAAACCATTTTTCAGGCAGTATATTCATGTTGTATATCCCTTCTATTCTCAAATTACATATTTATAAAGATTCTAATTAGTGTTACTGTGATTGTGGTGGGGTCATTCTTGATAATGTTATTATTGATGTTTTTGTTGTCTTTTAAACATATTGAAAGACCCCTCTACAACATTTTAATATTATTCCAGCTCTTAGAAGAATTCAACAAAAGATCATGGAAATACCCTTCTAATTCAGAGTGGTGGCAGAAGCTAAGAGAGAAGATAAAGAACAACATGGAAAGATCAAAGGTAGTGTGACATTAAAGAAATTAAAAGGTTTTTTGCTATAACAGGCACTGATGCATTGTCAGTTTTGTAACTGGTCTATATCCAACCTCCTCAATTATTTCTCATTTAAGTCACCCAGACTTTGAAGATTTGTACCATTCTGCTACATGCTTACGCTTCTTTTGCTTAGGAGCTGTAAGCATTACAGGTTAAGTATGCTGTGATTTTGTGTAAATTCAAACTGTGTAGAAATCATTACACTTTGGGATTGGATTCTTAAAGTCCTTAGTAGAAGACCACAGCCAGAGCTGCTGTATTATGGGCAGTGACTTGTAAGCAACAGACAGATAGTCCAAGTATTCCAAGTGGAAGCTGGTTTAGGTGAAGATGCATTTTTAACTTTCTTCTAATTGTAATCATTGTTGGCAGTGCTGCTCTAGGTTTAATCTATGTTAAAAGCAAGTAGCTGTTAAGACCAAGAGACCACAGATGCTTGGTATAGACCTATATATAGATATCAACAGATATGTATCTATAAGGTATATATATATATATATAATGTGTGTGTGTATGTTATATATATATATATTAGATAGGTAGATAGATAGATAGATAGATAGGTAGGTAGGTAGATAGATAGATAGATAGATAGATAGATAGATAGATAGATGTAGATGTTAGGTATATACCTAACTTTATGTAGCTCATTTTTCTGCAGCTTCAGATGCATGTTCCCGAGACTGGGATTTAAATTCATTCTAGCAGATTGCTCTTTTGAATTACCTCCCAGCACACAGATGACAGCTCAGATAGGGTTGTCAATAGTCCTACCCGGGTGCAGCAAAATTTCATGTGCCTCTTGGGTTAAACTGAGTTTTAATAGCTTCTGCTAATGATAGGCCATTGAGGGGTTGCTGAGCTTGTTGAGCCTCTGATAAATATGTTGTGTCACCAGAACAGATACAGGAGTGACCTTGATGTGTGTGGAAAAGCAAATGCTCCAGCTTTACCTAGCAGAGTGTATTTTTATTTCCTTCATTATTATTTATGTGTCTCTGTTTTTCACCTTAAATTCTATTCAGGGGAGTTACTAATATCTTTTCTTTTTAAGGGATTAGCATTACAGAAATCTCTGCCTATGAATTATTATACAGTCTTTCATCACATCAGAGAACTGATACCCAAGGACTGCATTTTAGTAAGCGAGGGAGCAAACACCATGGACATTGGACGAACTATGCTTCCAAATTTCTATCCCCGTCAAAGGTGTGATANGTGACATTAAAGAAATTAAAAGGTTTTTTGCTATAACAGGCACTGATGCATTGTCAGTTTTGTAACTGGTCTATATCCAACCTCCTCAATTATTTCTCATTTAAGTCACCCAGACTTTGAAGATTTGTACCATTCTGCTACATGCTTACTCTTCTTTTGCTTAGGTACTGTAAGCATTATAGGTTAAGTATGCTGTGATTTTGTGTAAATTCAAACTGTGTAGAAATCATTACACTTTGGGATTGGATTCTTAAAGTCCTTAGTAGAAGACCACAGCCAGAGCTGCTGTATTATGGGCAGTGACTTGTAAGCAACAGACAGATAGTCCAAGTATTCCAAGTGGAAGCTGGTTTAGGTGAAGATGCATTTTTAACTTTCTTCTAATTGTAATCATTGTTGGCAGTGCTGCTCTAGGTTTAATCTATGTTAGATAGATAGATAGATAGATAGATAGATAGATAGATGTAGATGTTAGGTATATACCTAACTTTATGTAGCTCATTTTTCTGCAGCTTCAGATGCATGTTCCCGAGACTGGGATTTAAATTCATTCTAGCAGATTGCTCTTTTGAATTACCTCCCAGCACACAGATGACAGCTCAGATAGGGTTGTCAATAGTCCTACCCGGGTGCAGCAAAATTTCATGTGCCTCTTGGGTTAAACTGAGTTTTAATAGCTTCTGCTAATGATAGGCCATTGAGGGGTTGCTGAGCTTGTTGAGCCTCTGATAAATATGTTGTGTCACCAGAACAGATACAGGAGTGACCTTGATGTGTGTGGAAAAGCAAATGCTCCAGTTTTACCAAGCAGAGTGTATTTTTATTTCCATCATTATTATTTATGTGTCTCTGTTTTTCACCTTAAATTCTATTCAGGGGAGTTACTAATATCTTTTCTTTTTAAGGGATTAGCATTACAGAAATCTCTGCCTATGAATTATTATACAGTCTTTCATCACATCAGAGAACTGATACCCAAGGACTGCATTTTAGTAAGCGAGGGAGCAAACACCATGGACATTGGACGAACTATGCTTCCAAATTTCTATCCCCGTCAAAGGTGTGATATCTTTTGTTCTGACTCAGCAGGCTACATTTCTGCATAAATGTTTTCATTTAGCTAAGAAGTATAATGGTCTGGAAAACAGAAGTATAATATGTTGAGAGAGGGATTAAGGAAAGTTTTCCACTCACATACTGATGTCCTGTCATAGATTTTAACAATCCTCTGTGTGCTCTGCAGCAGAATGATGACAGTTGCCTCTCTCTCTTATGGAAAGTGAGTGATGAGCATTGTGTTCAATTCCCTGACCTAGATGCTTGTTTCTGTGTTCAGAGTCTGTGGTAAATATCGATGAAAAATAAAAAAAAATCATTGGGATTCTCATGTTGAAAAGAATTCATGAAGAGTTTTTCTCCGGAACACTTCAAAATGGGGAAAACTTGAAAATTGGATTGTATATTGGGCGTGCTTTCATGTAAACCTGCATGCCTAAGATGTGGGTACTCCAAATATTGCTTTGTGAACAAAACAACCAAGAAAACCCATGTACTTCAAGTGAAGCTGGGGAAAGAGTGTGCATTTTCCTCTCTTATTTAAAATAAGGACACAGTCATGTTACTGGTTGTCTCTTCAGACTGCACTGCACATATCTGAAAGCAAATTTGAGCATTTAACCCTAGAATAATCTAGTGCTTTATGTACTTTTGTATCCATTATGTGCTTCTGATTGAAATGATCTAACTAAATTATAGCTTTCAATTTGATTTCAAATGGTTGAACAGAAGACTAAAATTTGAACAGCAGTATTTAATCAATGGCTTTCAGACTAATAGTTATATTTTCAAGGAATTAAATATAGAAATATTTCATGTTGTCTGTCTCTACAGTAATTGAATGTTTTTGAAATACTGTTACTATGCAAGCTAAAAGCATATGAGAATAATTTTTTACTGTAGCACTAGTGTACAAGAGTTCCTCATTTTAATTTGAGTTCCAGTATGTTTATATCACTTAAAACATTTGCTGTTTTATCAAATGTTTGGCTGAATATAATGATCACTACATGTGGTATCTATACCAATTGTTTATAAAACAGTGTTTGAATATTATATGGCGAAGTATTAAAAGTAAAAGGCACCATGGATTAGTTGAAGAGATTGAATAGAAATAAAGGCATAGTAATTCTGTATCCTCCCTTTAGGCTTGATGCAGGTACTTTTGGAACCATGGGAGTGGGGCTGGGTTTTGCCATAGCAGCTGCAATGGTAGCCAGAGACCACACACCTGGAAGGCGAGTTGTCTGCATAGAAGGGGATAGTGCTTTCGGATTTTCTGGAATGGAGGTGGAGACTATCTGCAGGTAACTGTTTTTCTTGGCTCAAGAAGATGCTCTTCAGGGTCACTTTAACTAGAAGACTTTAGCTGCTAGTAGGTGGGGTGAAACATAAAACACATAAAAACAAGCCAAAATACATACATGCTCATTTTTTATGTTGTGATGTGTAGTGCTTTACCAGCTATGATTAAATCATATTTCAGGTGGAAATGGTTTTGGTCTTTTCCTTATAAGGAAAATTACACTCTTAACATCTTATAGAAGGGGGCAAGTATTTCAGAATTCTTCCAAATGTGTCTTTTTATAGATACAACTTGCCAATCCTGATTATTGTAGTAAACAACAATGGGATTTACACTGGTTTGGATGCAAATTCCTGGGAGGAGATGTTAAAGTTTGGTGACCCTGCTACATGGTAAGCATCTTCAAAGTATGTCCTGTCAACCATGGAGGAAGTGACCAAAGTGGTAATTCTCTTAATTTTTAATGTTTTATGATCTCTATTAAAATTACTTTTATAAAATCAATTTAGTCCTGGGCTGAGTTCATGTAAGTAAGAACCAGTTACCTAAAGCAAACCACCAACCTAATTCCAGCCTACTGTTTGCACAACAGTGCAGCAGAGAGATGATTCTCTGTTAGTTTTCTCAGGTTCCTGCAGCAGTTCAGCCAACGCAGTACAAAGTTCATAGTGGACTAACTTTCAAAATCCTGATACTCTCCAAAATTGCCTAAGACTTGAGTTCTGAGTTTACACAGGACATCTGCTTCTGAGCTGAGATCTCTGTATGAAGAGAACTAGGCAAAAAAAAAAGCTTTGCTGAGGAATGTCTCCACAAGATAAAAATGAGTGTGGTACCCTATAAGCACATCTTACAGGAACCATAGTTCTTTCTATGGTTTTACAGGTGATACAGGAACCATAGTTCTTTCAGCCCAGAAGAATTCATCAGGCCAGCACAAAAATCATCTTGCACTTTAAAGTTGGTGCTGAAGTAATTAAATTAGTCAGCCTGGCAATTTTCCTGTGCCATTAATCATGTTTTCCATTCTGTTACAGTGTACCTCCTGTTTCTCTCCTGCCAAATGCACACTATGAGAAAATTATGTCTGCCTTTGGAGGTAAAGGATACTTTGTTAAAACACCAGAAGAATTGCAGAATGCTCTGAGAGCGAGTGTGACTGACAAGCAGACACCATCTCTTATAAATGTAATGATTGATCCGCAGTCTGAGAGAAAGAAACAGGTATGTATGTGTTTTCCTTTGCTTTTCTGCAAGCTTCATGGTGGTGAGCTTCTGGAAACCTTAGGGACTATCACTTAAACCTCAGAGGAGGCAGACATGGTTGCAAGGCAGAAAGATAGTTCTTAGATTTGGGAGATGGAGAAAATAGGTTCTTTTACACCATGCCAACTGCTTTCCTTGCTATCTGCTTGTTTGGGTTTTTCCCCACTGGCTGTTATTAACATATAATGTCCTTAGTGATTGCAGAATTTAAGGTTATTCCTTTCCATTCTAGACCAAAGAAGATGGAACATTTCTGAGCAGTCTTTATATCCTGTGGATTGCCTCTGGTAGTTAACTGTTCCTCTTACTGTTTGCCCATTCTGATGTGGTTTTTATTCTGTGTTGGTTTGTTTTTTTGCTTCCAGGAATTTCCCTGGCTGACTCGTTCTAACCTGTAGTAGAAGAGGAAGATGATGATGGTGCAAAGCAGCACGCTAAACAAAACTGAATTGTTTTCTGGAAGTGGAAGTGATACAACTGTATTTTGCATAGACTTTGGAACAAAGTGGGATTTTAGAACTGCTGTTAAAAGAATCTTTAAATGCTGAAATTAGGTAATTGTAAAATGAGAAAGACACATACGAACGTATACCAGGCCTTCAAGCAGATTATACACAAACACTGATGATAAAATTATATGCTTTTTCTTTTACTCAGAGTAATACCCATTATTTGTGAATTTAAATCTTGAACATTCTTGATGAGCAGAATAAGGTGAGGTTTTTATGCTGTCTGAAACATAGAAGTGTTTGACAGTCTGCAGTTATAGTAGCTTGATTTTTAACCAAACACACCACCATTCTACTTGTTAAAAACTTTGTCCTCTAAGGACCAAAGTAAGGCTTCTTCCTTTTCAAAATAATCGTGTTGTGAATAAGTCCTGATTGGCCTCATTATGCATCAAAGCCTGTTGCATTGGTAGTAGCTTCCTAATTTTACAGATTGATTTTTCAGCTTCTTCTGAATATAGAAGTAGTTTATTAAAAACACAGACTTACTCAAAGGCTAAGCTTCTGTCTACCAAATTTGATTTTAGTAACTGGAACTTATGGTGTTGATAGGAAAAGAAAATCCTGGATTTCTGTTTGAAGCTTAGCTCTTCACAGACACCACCATGTCTGTAGGCTGAAAATGTGGCCATATTTATTAGTGGGATTTACAGTATTAATAGATTGTAAATGTTTATATTCAGAAGCATTTTAAATAAAACATTACCGCCACCATCACCAAAGTGACACCAACAAAAAGACCACAAAAAAACCCAAATGAAAATAAAATTTTAAAAAATTCCTCACCAGAGCAACAACAATAAAAACTATTAGATTGGAGCATAATGTTCATTTTGGCTAGCATCACAGAGCAACCACCAGTGTTTGTGCTATGGCTAGCTAATTGTACATCAAAGTGTGACTGTATAGAAATCTAGAGTCCCATCTGCATTGTGATGCACAGGTAACATTTAAAGCAGATATTTGGCCTGCCTGGGGTTCTGTCTGCTGTGTTTTCATTTGTTGCTGTATCTGACAATCAGACTGAGAGTTCAGGCTTTAAAAATGAAGTAGCTCTTTGTCTATGCTCATGCCATGACCTACAGCAGCTACTATGCAGGGTACTCTAAACAGATTACTTTGTATTTACATCTGTTGTTAAAGGCACAGGTTCTTGGTTGTTACATGCACAAAAGGAAATATTCTGTCTCTAATTAGGGTTTTGCTTGCTTTATTTTCTATTATCCCATTGTCAGTAAGTGTCAGTTACCCAGTGTAAGGCACTTGGTGACCTAAGGAGAGAAAGGACTGGGCTGGCAGGGGATTGTGGCCTACAGTCGGGTTTGTTGCCAAAGGTTTGGTTTACTGGGTGTGGCACTTTAGTTTGGGTCTGGCCCAAGGCCATGGGTTACTGTTGGGCAGAGGAGTGCAGGAATGTCTCTTCACACTAGTACAGGGAGATAACATCTGAAAGAAATCATGTCTAAAATAATCTGAAAAGCAAAAGGATAAAATCCTAGAGTGGATACAGCTCACAAAAAAAAATAAGGCTGCTGAGTTGCTGTGTCCTCTAGAGTACTCTGCAAGGAAGGTGGAACAGTGTTGAATCTTGAATCTTGTTTCATTCTTCTTATACCACAAATTAATTTTGGTATGTTTCAGGGATTAAACACAATCTGTTATGATGGTGTAAAATATCTCTAACAGTTAATGCTGGAACTGACCACAGGGGAGATAATTTGTATTGGATAAGCAAATGTAGAAATTACTAGTTTATACTTGAAATTAATAAAAAGTGATTTTCATGCTATTTCTCCTTTAATGAGAGTGTTTGAATTATGTCAGCATTTTGTGTCAGTTGTTGGAAATTGAGTTACATTTGATTTCCTAAAATGTTGTTGAATAACTACAATAACATGCACAGTTTATTTTAATAAGTCAGGATGTGGAAAATGGAAAGCAAAGAATTTGAAACTGTGGGGAGGTGATAACATAATTGATAACATCCGTTTGGATTTCATTAAGCTTTAAAAAAAGCTTAAGAAAGAATTAACACTGCATTTCTTATTGCTTTAAAGCAGACATAATACCATAATATAATAGAATTTCATAGGTTGTAATGATAAGGGGTTTTGAGATGAGAGAGGGCATGATTTCCTTGTAAAACCAAGGAGAGTGAAATCTCTGCTGCTTTGATTATAGAGCTTATCTGCTTGGTATTGTTTTACACCATGGAGTTGATCTAAGAGTATAAGGCAGATGAAATTGCATGAAAGAGAACAGTTTCAAAGATGAGACAGAAACAAGCTGTCTCTGAAATGTCCTAATTTTATTAAAAGTAGCAAAAAATGAAAGTTGTAAGCTTGGAGAATATTGTGACCCATGTGGCTTTACCCAACTGGAAGTTTTTCTTCAACACCAAAACTTGGAAATAAAGGTATTGAACAGACTCAAGAGAAAGAAAATATCTGGGCCTCAGGTGAAGGAAGATTCTGTGAAAGAGGTACTGAGTGTAATTTACTGGGACATGGCCAGAGAAGTTTGTGTTTAAGTAAGATGCAGTCTGAGTCTCTTTCTTAAGGTTTTAAGGTATCAAGAATACTTGAAATATTCTTGTTTGTTAATGTTAAGGGAGCCCTCCATTAATCATTAGTCCAGTGCCTGTGAAAACTTTTGTAACAGGAGCCTGCTCAGTTCTAAGGGTTAGGAAGCCCAAAGTTCAGTCCAGCAGCACTTGTCCTCTTCAAAGAGACATGGAAGGGCTTGAAACATGGGGCCAACAAGTGGTACAGGAAAAGTATTACAGAGGTGTCCAAAACCCAGCTGGTAATTTCATATGGCACCAGAGGTGAAACCATTAGGAGCCACAAAAAAATGGCCTGGTAGGAGAAATAAGAACCATGGAATCACAGGATATTCTGAGTTGGAAAGGACACAGAAAGATGATCTCATCCAGCTCTTAAAGTGGGTGTCCCACAGGGATAAAACCCTCAACCTTGGCATTATTAACACCATGCTTCAGCCACCTGAGGTAAGAGGTCAGGTTTGTTACTGTCTCAGCACCTCACAAAATAGCATAAGGTGTTGAGTAGGTGTTCCTGCAGCCCCTTGTGTGCTCAGTTTGCCAGCAGGTTCAGTTTGCAGTGATTCCAAACTGCTCACTTACTGTGTTCCACCTTTATTCTGCACTGAATTTTGTAGGCTCTGCCCTGTGAGCATTTGGGTGTAGCTTGTGTCTGCTTGCCCTCAGTTGTTATGGCCACATAGCCTGTAGCCATTTCGACAAGGAATGAGATGTAGGTTTGGTCTGGCCAGATTTAATTTTAAGCTCTCCTTCAAAAGCCCAAATACACATAAAACAAGCAGCAATGCATCTTCAGGTCTGCCACTCTGGACCCACAAGCAACACTGGCTGGAAGCTATGGTAAAAGTCTGATTAAGAAATATGTCTTCTGCACTGACTACCTGTTATTTTATAGGTTGTAATCAAAATCACCCCTGCAGCTCCTTTTAGGCTGTTTAAAGAGCTTGATGGCTGTGCTTAGAGGAAAAAATGCTTGGCACTTCTCTACTTAGTAATGTTCTGAGGTCAGACCAGATGTCAGACCTGCTCTTCTGTATGGTAGACTGGCAATGTGACTTCTGTCGATTTATTTATTTATAACTGAATATTGAAATGAGTAAGAAACATCTATTCTGAATGAGACAGTTGCTGTTTCTTTTGATGAGGTGATTGAAACCAGATGGACAAGATTTAAAGAGGCCATCAGTAAAGCAGATGCCTCCAGCTAATTATGGCACATGCTAATATAAATGAGAGTTATTTCAGTGTCTGTTCTTTCCAGGAATCTCTAAGATGCCTAAGAAATAGTGACGAAATAAGTAAGGAAAGTTAATAAACTGACAGTCTACTTGCTTGTGTAAATATGCTTAAGAAATTTTGGGTTTCATCAGTCTCTTCAAAGGGGTGATAGAAGAAGCAAGGAAGGATGCTACTGAAAATGTTGCATAATTTAATCTTGAATTATTTTTGGTTTTGTCAGCTATAGAATGTCTGAGCAATCTAACTAGCAATTATTTGTATAATACCTTGCATCAAATTCTAAACTGGATGCAGAGAAGGGATGCTTTTGAAGACAAGATATGAATTGCTGTACTTGAGAGCTGGAGAAATGGATTAGCTTCTTATCTAGAATTGTATAAATGGCCATGATCACGTGAATGTAAGCAGCTTAGAACAGTCGTTCCACATAAGTGATGGGAGATTTCCTCTCGTACTTAGTGTTGGTAATGTTACCACATGAGGAAGATAGTGAAAGACTCACATAAGCCTTTTTACACCTCCAGTCTGTACAGCAATCTTAAGTTTTTGTGGCTCTTGATTCCAGAAAGTAATTGCTGTTCTTGTGTGTGAATTTTGTGCAGTGACTTCCTGTAGCTGTTGCAGCATGAAACTTCATAACCTGCAGGCCTACCTGAGAACAAAACTCTTGGACAGAGAGGCCATTCACTTCTGTGTGTTTGCCTACCTCTGCATCACCTTGCAGCTCTAGAGGTGATGTGATGTCGACACACACTCAGTGATCCAAACTAGAGCTCCACAATGTCTGGTTACAAGTCCTTCTTTAATGAAATCTTCACATTAAAAAGATTTTTTTTTTTTTTTTAATTTGCTCTTTCCTAAGTGATTGAAGGATTTGTCTTCTGTCTCATTGGCATTGTCATTAAGACAATGTATGGTATTTTATAAGGCTTGATGCTGGGAAGTGCTGATACCAGAACTGGTGGATGTTCAGGCATACCTCAGGTTCCAGCCAAAGCAGTGCATCCTTCTTAGAGCAAGGAGCCATGGCTGCTGGGATTGGGGTACGAAAGCCTCCTTAGCCAGGCCATAAACAACCTTTTTGCTGTGCAAAAGTAGGTGTATCATTCAAGTGGCCAGAAAATAAGTAAAAAGTATGTTAGGTAAAATTAATATTTCAGCCCTGCCAGGAATTAAAATCTACCCCACCTAAGCAGCTAATGCTGGGTCTCATTTTATGTAGTTGAAATCAGTGAGACCTTATTAATGATTTTGGTGCAGAAGCTGTTTTTTCTCCAAATTTTCATCTCTGTGTGCCAAATTGCCATTTGGTAAGGATGTCTTAAAGACAAATTAGTGAAACTTCAAAAGCAGCACTTTATAGCAGAAATTCTAATGTAGCCTTAATTACAGTTCCCTGATTCTGCAGTGGGTGGTGGGAGAATGCACTTGTCTAATTAGATTACGTTCAGTTATCCTGTGTTTGGAAGATGACAACCCTGGCATCCCAGAATGACTAGGCAACAAGCAGTGCCCAGGTGTTTTCTATGGCTGCCATGGTAACAGTGTAGCTGGGCTTCAAAATTTGAACCACTGTAAAAAGAGAAATCCTCTCCACCTTTAGCCTGAACCAGCATCTTTTAAAATCAGACTGAAATTCATTATCAGCTTACAAAAACAGGGCAGTTTTCCAACATGGATATGGCTTACCCAACAGCTGTGGTGCCAGAGGACTCTGAGTCCTGCTTGCTGTAGTGTCATGGTCAGCACTTGCAGCCACCCATTTGCTTAAAACACCCTGAAAATCAAAACCTTCTTGCTGTGACCTATTTCTTTACATTTTCCCAGCTTTATAGTGTTGGTTCTTCCATCAAGCCTTTGGGTAAACCCTTGGATTTTGTCCTCTACTACTGCTCCCCAAGTGGGTTTAGCAGCTCTGCTCCTGGTTTTGCATTCTGTTAGTCACAGAATCCCAAAATATTTAGTGCCCAGGAGTATCCAGGAGAGAGAAAAAAGAGCTATGGGAAAATGAGGCTTCATGTTATTTAAAAGACAAGCTATCTGCAGCTTTTTCAGGCCCTGATTTGTCAAGGCACCTGTGCACATGCTTCATTTCAGGAACACCTTCATTGCTTTCACTTGCAGCCCTGTGGTTACGCTCATGATTAAGTATTTTCCTGAATTAGTGGTGCTTTGGCCACCCATCTGAAGAGCACTACAACCTTCTGTAGAGGATCCCTGTGTCTGGGGGCATTCTCCTAGGCATGTAGACACTGGTGTTTGGATCCATGTTTGCATCTCAGTGGTGTAATGGGCTGTACTGCAGTATGAAAATCAGGAAGAGGATGCTGCATTGCCAGGCATCTGTGAAGCTCTCTGGAATTAAAAACACTGAGTTTAGTGTGAGCATTAAAATAATGACATTAATAGGTTGTTTTTCTGAAAAAAAACCATTAAATTTTCTCAGTTGACAGAGAAAGAAGAAGGTTGTGCTATGTGGTGTTCAATTCATTGGGCTCTTTGGCAACCTAGATGATAAATCACTTAAATTAGGAGTTGTGGGAGCCAATTACTGCCAGATATTTCTGTGTTCTGTGCCTCCAGCAGCACGGCAGCAATACTGGTACAGGCAGGGAGTTCTGCAGACATTTACTAATAGAAGTAAATAGCAGTAGACAATCCAAATGAAAAAAGATGAAAAAAATTACCCTGCACACTATTTCCATCTCCTCTAGTTGCAGAGGACCAGACTGAGTTATAGCTGTGACTTGTTTGTGGTTCACCATCTGAGGATGTTGAAGACAATTTATCTGCATAGATCCTGGTGACTGGAGACCTCAGTTGGCTGGGACTACGACGGTCAAGGCCATCTTCTTTGTCCTGTAGGACATTTTTCTATGAATCATTCTGAGGTTTTGCATGTTTGCCCCAGATTTTCAAAACCTGGCAATCCTGGACATGTATCTTTATTCTCTGCCTATGTGTAAGCCTGTATGATGAGTGCATTTCATCCAAGAAGCATTGTGTGTTCTGCAGTTCAAAAGGCGAGGTTTAAAAGAAGAATGAAGTGAAAAACAGAGGAAGAAGAGTGCTTTTATAAAGGTTAGCATCTGAATTATTGTTTTAAACTTGTTCTACTTTGTTGTAGAACTCCAACATTACAAGAACACAAGTGGGGTGGTTTTGGTAATTTTGATTGAAGTCACTTTGAATGATCCCATGAACTTTAGTCATGTCCTTAACTCTTTTGTTCTATGGTTTTCAGTAGAAAAATAAATGTATGCATGGGGATTACTCATAGAAGTGAAAAAAAGTGAAGGACTGAGCCTTTGAATTAAGTCTAAAAGTGCAACATTAATGTTTCAAGATGAATTTTTTAAACACAGGATGAGAGCTGGGCTGCTCTGTAAACAAATATGCTCTGAAGAGTGTAAAGATAAATCATCATCCCTAGTCAGTTAGGGCTGTTACTGAATTACTGCATTAACTTGGGGTTGATGTTTTACCTTTGCCCCACTCAGCAAAAGGGCTTTCAGACTTTTGAACTAGAAATCTCCATTTTATATTGAGTATCTCAGCAGGACAAGGGGGAATAGGTTAAAACTAAAAGAGGATAGATCTAGGCTAGATAAAAGGAAGAAATCTTTTGTGGTGAGAATGGTGAGACAGTGGAAAAGTTTGACCCAAGAAATGGTGGATGTCGCTTCGTTATAACCATTCAAGTTCAGGTGGGTGGGGCTCTGAGCAGCCTGATCTAGTTAAAATGTCTCTGCTTATTGCAGGGGATTGGACTAGATGACCTATCTGACCCAAATTATTCCAAGAGTATCTTGTCCTTCTAACTAGAATGGTGTTCCTGAAAGAATTTGAGATTGATGGTGTTTTAACTATATTCATTTTACCTTGTCTCATTAATGCAGTACCTGCCAACCAAAAGAGAACAGGGTTGGGAAGAAGCCTTCTTTTTAACAATTATTTATTAATTCTTGCATAGAAAAAAGCTCATAAATTCTGTTTACATGGTGGTATCATCAGCAGATTCTTCCATGTGCTTCTAAGAGCTCAAGTTTAGGCTGAAAATATCAAAGCAACAGCTTCTTGAACAGACAAATTTTTCAGACCATTTTTTTCATTATGTGTTGGTTGACTTTTAGCATTTTAATTGCTGTGGCATCTACCACAAATTAAAAAAAAAAAAAAAAAAAGGAATAGCTGGAGAAATGTATTGCCTGGCTGAGCAAGTTCACAGCGCCCAGGGCCTGGAAAGCACATGTTTGTCAAGCCTCTCATGCCAGACTCCCCCTGCTACGTGACACTTTCCCTCCTCAGGATTCTCTCTGCCACAGGCCCTGATGCCATGGGGGTCAGAGAGAAGCTGTGTGACCAGGTGTGCAGCCTTGTCATCCAGCCTGGAGCAGGGAGAGTCAGTCTGCTGCGCTGTCACCTGCCTAAGCCAAATCAGTAAGGCCACAGCTATTGTCCATCTTATTTCCAATGGACTTTGTTCTTCTCTCGTGACACCACTGCCAACCTTGCCAGCAGTCTCAGCTGGTAAGGCCCACACCTCAAAATTAGAGGAAATAGAACTCAGGACTTGCACTCTGACATGGCCTGGCTCGCTGCCCTGTAATGAGGGCTCTCCACTAATATCTAAAGAGAGATTGGAACTACATCATGAGGATGAGGCATCTTCACACAAATGGAACTCCAAAGCATTGTCTTCTTTCAAGTTTTGTGGAAGATGGTGTGTGTTCCACAGAAGAGAGTGTGCCCATAGAGCTTTCTTCTCACATTGGCTAAGAACCATTTCAAGTCAAACAGGCTCAGAGTCATGGAGATGCTATGCTGAAAGAAAGGAGCTCATTGACAAAACCTCCATTTTAATCGGGGTTCTCTCCACTGCAATAAGTGGATTAAAAAGTCTCTATTTGAGAATTGACTGCAAAGCTAACTTCATGTGTTTTTCATAACTCTGAACCAGCCCTGGCTTTCTGTATCACTCTTGGATACCTTTGACATGGAATCACAGAAGGAGGGAAAAGATATTGGTCCTACTGTATGATCTTAGTTCTTTCTCTTATTATTGGATTAATTATTTCCCTATCAAATAGAAATTGTTTTCTACTAGAAATTTCTACCAAATTTTCAGTTGCTAAAAGACTGCAGGAGGATTTCTGCAGGCTGTGAAATTATTCACTTGTTCCTTTGACTAACTATTGTGTTGATCACATATTTTCAGAGGTGGTGTATTTTAATACAATCTTGACATTTTAACTTTTGAGCAATTTTTTTCCAGCCTCCATGCAGGATTCTAACATGGGAATTGCAGCTGGACATTTATTTATTTAATCTTGCATGCTCAGGGCTTGTCACAATAAACTTCCTAAGAGATATTCCTTTCCCTCTGAGATGTAGCATGCCAAGAAAACTAATGGTAGTCACTTAATCCATGGTTATCTTGGCCAAAGAAGAAAGAGACCAAATTATTATCTTCACTAAGAAAAACCAAATACTAAAAATTAACAGACAGTGGAATAAAGTAAATATGATTAAATTAAAGTAGAAAATGTGTTATCCAAAATATTACAGTACTGAAAAGAGTACTTTTCTAATTTTAGAAAGCATTATGATTATATTAAGCCTGTCTTTTAGGGTTAAAAATGTATAAGACAGACATTATTCTTCCCATCTAGCCATTACATTTGGAAGGATTGGTCAATATGTTTGCAATGCATTGAAAGTAACAGCCAAGACTGTTTAACCAGAATTGTGGAAATATCTCACTTTGCTCTTCAGTGGAATTAATGCTCAGGGGGACATGTCACCTTTTCTGTCAGTGAGAACTCTTCTCAAATGGGAAAAAAAAATCAATTCCATAATTAATCCAAAATATTTTCACATTTTTCTTGGGGGAAACTATAAACAGTGAGCAAAGAAAACCATCTCAATCTAGAAGAGAGTAATTTTTTTCACAGCAGAGGATGTACCTCTGATTTTCATGGAAACCACTGTCAGATTCCAGGCAGAGAGGAAGATATCTCTGCTACTTACTCAGGGATATAATCTTTTAATCTGTAAAGCCCTGCATGTTGCAATAAGGCACAGAAACCCCAAACTTTTGTACAGGTAGCAAGGACACCTACTGCTTTTCAGAGAGTGGGAGGTTTGTTTGCTTCACATAGTGCTGTGCAGTGTGTTGACCATCTCCACCCCCAGAGCTGATAGTGTTTCATTCACCCCATCATGGCACATGTATTGTTTCTTCCCCCTGTTGCACCCTGTGAGTGAACTCTGCAATCCTGCAGTATTGGCACTGTCAGTGATACTGTCATTTTCACGTAAATCCAAAATAATAATGTGTTCATCAGTTTGTGAAACCTTTGTGGCATCCCACACCTTGAGCTGCACTCTGTACACAAATGCAACACTCGTAGCTACAGGGATAAGCAGATGTTAGGTCATTGCTCATCTCTCTTATTAAGACAATTAGTGACCTGTAGAAGATGATCAATCAGGGATTTTATCCATCTCGACGCCGGTGTCTGGTTGCCTGTACTGAAAGATTCTGTTTACAGTCCAGTTCTTAATTTCTCTCGTTCCTGCTCATCATCATAATTATTATTATCCAAAGTGCTTTTTTGCTTCTGTTAGCAAAACCAGAATCCCCCATGTCTCAGTTTTAGCAGCTAATGTCCACAATAGGGGCAACTGATCCAGCACAGGAGTTAAATATAACTGTGTCTAGTGTAAGGAGAAGATTTAATGGGAAATGGTTGGCATTCTTTCTTCCTAAAGGCACGGAGAGGGAGGGGGAAGAGAGAGAGAGAGAGAGAGAGAGATACACACACAGACACACACATCCCATAGTGAGGGCAGAGGCAGAGAGCAGGCAAGGCAGAGAGGGAGAGAGGGGAGAGAGAGAGCCCCAAGGCAGCCCTGCGCCTCTGAGCTGGGATCTGCCAGGGCAGAGCCAGCATGATGGTCCTCAGCCCACTTGTCCGGGGATCTTACCTGCTGCTTTTCTTCTGCTTTGCTTTGTCTCAGACTGCGTACGCTGACAATGTCTTCTCACTTTCAGCAGGTAAATTGCTTTAAGTCATTACTTTTCCTTGCTCAGAGCGCTCTGCACTCTGATTCTTGCACTTTCTGGTGATTGGGAACACAGGAGAAAAAAAAAACAAACTTCAAATTGCAGATCTCGGCTGAGGGATTTTGCATTGCAGACCTGCTCTACCACACGCCAGGACATTTTGTTGCTTGGTCAGTTTTGCTTTTTGCTTTATAATTTCTGGTTTTAAACCCCTCCCTTCCCTTCCCCATGAGAAATAATGGGCAAGATCCTCAGCTGTTCAAAAATGCTTTTTTTCCATTGGCCTCTGTGGTGCTGTGCTAATGCATGGATCTGGCCCAATTAGTTTAATACTTGCATGTCTGCATGTTTCTTTCTATTTTGGCTGAGTTTAGGTAGAATACAGCAAGGGAAAGAAAATTAATCTCAATGTATATCTGCTTCTATAAATAAAGCCCTGACCTCAATGAGTGCTGCTGGAGCCCGACTGGATGTTAGCAGAATAAACATCATTTGGCTCCGGCTATGACACTAACAAATACTCGGATGACTTACATAGCAAACAAGAGCCCACTGCATGGAAAATCCCTGCTAGGCAAAGACAAAACAAATTAGTTGTCAGCTGAGCCAGGGCACTGGAAATCCCTCTTAACAGAATTTACAGTTTCAGCAGCAAGACTTTCCTTCAGTCACGTTCTAGGCAGAGGAAGGGGAAAGCCAGCGAGAGCTCTGACTCCATCTTCTTTAAGGAATTTTCACCAATTTATGGCAAATTGCTGTCTCCCACCTTCTGTCTGTTATTCTGTATCAATACAGATGTTCTGACTTATGTCCTGTGTTCCTTCAGTGTCAGATCTGAGATGGTTCAACTGAGGCAGGTAGGTCAGGGCCTGCTGTACCTATAGATCCTCCCCATGGCTTTCACAGTGATCAAAGGGGTGCATATTTTAAGTCTGTAAATAAAACCAACCCTAGACATGGACTTAAAGACACGTGGCCTTTCTTGCTCTCATATCCCTCAGCTGTAACTATGGAGCCAGATGGTTTATGATCAAGCTCTCTAAGATGCTAAAAAGCCTTTAAATTTGTTACCATTTCTTTTCGATTGGGAAGTGCTTATTCCATCATGTTGAGGTTAGTTAACAGTGAGGTACAGGAATCACCAGGATTTATTTTCTCTGATACATTCCACATTGCATTGCAATAACATCAGACTTCAAACTTTGTTTTGAAGAACTTTATGTTTCTTTGGTGCTTATAGATGCCACAGAGGCAAACAAGACTGTGATGTTTCCATTGCCTTCTCCTGTGGCACACACTTGTGTGTCTACAGAAGACATTTGAGCTGTCCTGTTAAGAAATAACAGTTCAACAAATAGCCTGCCCCTAAGGAGGAAGATTTGTCATCTTTGCTAAAAACATGGTAGAAGAGGTAAACATGAAGGAAAATGCCAGAGGCTGGGCATTTTCCACAGGGTAGTCCTGGGGTCTTATCTGCAAAGACCCTGCTGGGCAGATCCCCACCCCACAGTCTGCTCCATGGCAACGTCCCACACTCTGTTCTTCTGGCCAAGACACTGAAAATCACCTTTATACTCAGCAAGCTCTTCATGAGGCTCCTGTCACATATGTATTGTCAATGTTTGCTTGACAATATGTGGGAAAAATAGCAGTTGGCCAAAGATTCTATCAATCCCACAGCTGCAGGGCTGGATTAAGAGACATACCTGTGTGTCATTATTACTTGCTAATCAGGGTTATTTGGTGTTAAAAATTATCTAATAAGGGATTCCTTTAGTGCTTTGGTTACACCTGCATTTTAAGAAACTTCTAAGAAAAACGCAGTAAGTTCTGATTTTTCTGGTAGAAATCTGACAGGGGGCACAGAAGATTATTTCCATTTACAATGAAGGTGAATTAATTCCACATACATTCTCAGTTATTTTAGTCATTTCTCAAATGTTCTCTGACTGTCAGCTGAGTCAATTATTTGTATTTGGCACCAAGATGCAATTCCACATTTAAAGAATGAATTTCAGCAGTGCACTTTCAAATTCTGAAACTAATCCCATTTAGCAGAGAGGATGTTCTTAAGCAATTTCTTGGCTTTACTGTAGTTGGAGAAAAAACATTTGGGTATCTTCCAGGTATGTCTGAAAACTTCTGGCCTAAATGTACTTTTATTTGTGTCCTCACACATCTTTGCATAGCAACAGGTCACAAATAATAAGGCTTACAGGTCACAAAGCAGTAACTAGAAAGCAAAGGGGAAATAGCCTGTAGGGTGGAGAAGTGTTGGTACAATAACTGGGGAAAGAAGAATAATCTGGATCTTTCTTTTCTGCCAACTCCACCTCAGAGTCCCATCAGCCTCACGCAACCCTTGTTTCTAGAAGCATTTTGAGTGTCATGTCAGCTCCAAAGAGTTGAGTATCATGGTGCTGTAGCATCATTTCTGGAGAAAATGTTCTAGAGAATAGTATTGTAACATATTATAAAAGTGTGTGGCTGTGGTTCCACATGGCAGTGAAGAACCCCAGCATGGGGAGCTCAACCCCTGGAGAATGAAGGTTGTTTTTAGGGTAACCTGTCATATCCCACCCATTACACCACTTGTTTGTGGTGTCATTTACATCTATGTTTCAAAGCACTGCCCTACTGAGGTTCCTGAGCTGCTGCACTCACACAATGAAGACATGAGTTCTGTAGTCACTTTTAGCAGGGCTACATGAACCAGTCTGCACCTTGTAAGAGCCACCCTGAAGCCACCTTCCAAATTCAGGTAGTAGAAAGACTCTCTTCCTCTCCTGCTCCTTCCTTCTCCTCCCCTTTATTGCTTATCCAGGCCCGAGGTTTCGCGGAGAGATGGGACAGTATTTAAAGTACCAGAAACATCTGAAGAAAAAGAACTGCATCTCAATGCTTCTTCTGGCCTTTTATGCATGCCACAAGTGCATCCCTTGATTTAATTGACTCCTACAGTCAATAATGATTCACAGTCCTTTGGAAGTATTAGGGTGGATCAGTTTAAAAGAACTCAACAGGATATTAGAGCGCTACTGGCAGTACTCCTCACAATTTCTTTGCTGTTGTCCGATAATTTTCCTGAAGGAACAGTGGGCACTAGGTTCATCCTCTTTGAATCAAAAAGGTGTAATATTTGCAACCAGACTTCACGTGGCAGAACTGCAGAAAAGCATGATGTTTTCTTGTGGACTGACACTGTTTGAGCTGTGGTGATGGGCGAGGTGGGCTGGGAAGAGGAGCTGTGTAGGGTGAGAGCTGTGCCTGGGCAGCACAGAGAAGGGACCTTGGGGGCCACTGTGGTGCTGTGCTGTGGGGAGAGGACATTGTGCATTTGTGAGAGAAACAGCAGGAGAGAAAGGACACAGAAACAAGGAATGATTCCTGACATTGAGGGAGTTTGGATCAGGGCTGTCTTTCCATAAAAGGAGTATCTGACCCCATAATCAGGGCTTGGTTTTCTTTTCCCTGCAGGAACCCTAACTATTGTCATAATGGACAGCAAAGATGTCAGGTGGATTTATTTTGTTTCTAAAGAGAGTAATTGTAAATATTTATGTAAAATCACAAGAGAATGACTTATCTGAGTGTTTGGAGGAGAAAGAAAGTTGCAGAAGGAATTTAAAAAGCGATGAGAAATAAAAGCTTGAAGACTCTCTAAAGGCAGCAGTCAGAGCCTGCTGGGGAAATAGCCAAAGGGTGACTAGCAATCAAAAATATTAGACCAGGGAGGGAAGCCTGGCTCTTCTCTGCAAAGTCAGCATGGGCCAAGGGGGTGCTGAGCATCCTGGTACCATTGGCAGTGGGTTTCTCATGGAACAAACATAAGCAGGAAAGCTGTGGTTAGATTAAAATTCCTGATGGAAATGAGCCACTGGCAAAGGCTACAGCTTTGTTAGAAGAAGGAAAGCAAAATCTCATTGACCATGAGACACAGCAGTCACCTAGCTGTGGAGCTGAGCTGCCAAAGGTCTTGGGGCAAGATGTTGAGAGCTTTCTGTCCTTTTCGTAATCCATACGAGCCTGAAAGGGACCCAGAATATTCTTTCAGTAGATTCTCTGTTCAGCTTCAGAAGAGAAAATAACCTTGGGATTGGCTGTTTTAACTTGATAGCCCAAATGGGAAGATAAACCAAAAGAAGGAGGGTGTAGTGGCTACCCTTCCAAGTTGATGAAGAGGACAGCTCCTGAGCAGCCTCTGGGAAAATGCTTGAGCTGCCAGCAATTTAGCAGCCTAGTATGGTGTGGTTACTGTTGCTTCAAGTAAATTGGTTTTAAGTAAGTAGAGTTTAAAAAACTACCTGATTTGACTTTATCTGTATATTCTCCCCTGGTGGATATGACCTGTGAAAATCCCAAACTGGGTGTCCTGCTCAGGTCAGTATAGATGATATTCAGGAAAGAAATCACCTTAGGACTCACAGACCTTCTCTGGTGGTGTGTGCTGCAACACCTGTGCTGAGAAAGGCAAGAGCAGAGCAGCCACACTGGTGCACAGCCTGTCTGTGACTCCATGCCTACATCCACCTTCTCATCAGCAAGGGCAAAGGGAGCACTGATGTCATCCACAGAGGCCAAGGTCCCCCAGAGATGCTCTGAAATTCACAGTAAACCAGTGAGAAGGAGCCCACTTGATCCTGTGGGTAAGGGACAAGGAAAGGACACCAGAGGCAGTTCAGGAGGTTGGCATTTGCCTTTTTATTTAAAAAATCAGAAGAGGACATGGCCTCTAGTGAGTAAGCTGGAACCTGTTTACAGCAAATCTCCTTAAATACAGCCCTGGTCTTGCATGCAGAAGAAGAAAGAGGCTTCTGATGTGTTTATGGCATTACTGGTTGACAAGGGCTTGTCTTGTCAAAAAAGGTTGAGTGATAATGCAGACGAAGGGAAAGGGTTCAGTGGAATGCTGTTGAAGTTGAATATTATGACATTCACTTGTTGGGTTGTGAAGAAGTCCTCCAGCTGCCAGGGACAGATGTCTGTACAGG